ATTTTATTATCATTCTATTTCATTATTTTATTATTATTCTATTATTGTTCTATTATTGTTCTATTATTATTCTATTATTGTTCTATTATTATTCTATTATTATTCTATTTTATTATTTTATTATAATTTCATTATTATTTTATTTTATTAGTTTATTATTATTCTATTATTATTCCATTTTATTATTTTATTACAATTTCATTATTATTTTATTTTACTATTGTATTATTATTCTATTATTATTCTATTTTATTATTCTATTATTATATCATTATTATTTTATTTTATTATTTTATTTTACTATTTTATTACTATTCTATTATTATTCTATCTTATTATTTTATTACAATTTCATTATTATTTTACTTTACTATTTTATTACTATTCTATTATTATTCTATTTTATTATTTTGTTATAATTTCATTACATTATTAAATACCATTCTCCAAACCAACTCGACAGCGTTTAAGAAACGGCGCCGTGAAGATCAGTTCCGAAAAAACGACTCGGCAAGCAGCCTAATTAAAATTCCAAGTTTCCCGAAATAAAATCCTCGGTTTCGAAAAGCGCAGCAAAAAAATGATACTTCTTTCGAGGCCGCCTCTCATCGCGATCCATTTTTTTTCCCCACGAAACGGAACGGTTTACCATAACGCTGCGTAATCGTGCACGAAAAATAACAGAGAGACAAGGAGAGCGCGCACAGTTACACCGCGGTCTCGTTAAGAACGCATTCACACTTTGCCCCCTGGTATAATTTCGTTAAGCTAATCAGCCGCGAAATCGACTTAAGCCGATACCCATCTAACGTTGATAAATTATTCCCGGCCGCTTAGCGACTCGATGCTAATGAATGTCGCGCGATGATACATCGCCGATTAGCGGATCCGTTCGACGCGTGGTTCTTCGAAGATCGTGCACGTGTGTGTATACGTGTGTGTTACACGTACGCGTTCTGTCCGATGCAACGAAGACGAAAGAAAACCTGCAAAAGCAACACGTTCGATCGAATACTGATCGCAATGAAGAAGACCTCATTCGGCTTCCCTCGGATTCCGTTTATAATTTAGTCCGCTGCCGGCTGCACAGAGCCAACTGTCCGCTCCGCTTCGACCGGTCGAAATAAATTTTCGCGAAAAATCGCCTCGACGCGCGTCGTTACCGCTCGATTCGTTCTCGTTTGCTTTCTTTCGAATCTCGAAGCATTTTTATTTATTTTTTATTTTCCACGTTTTCGATCGACGATCGTCAGCTTCATTTATTCATTCTTCGACAAATATTTTAGAAGATCCTTCTCTTGTTGTTTGCTTTTCTACTGTTTCTAATTTCTCCTTTTTCTTTTTGTTCAGAGCAATTTTAATCTCAGCGGAGTTTATTGCATTGCATTATTTCGAATGCGATGCAATACGAACGCATTTTGTTCAGCGATTGCACATTTTTTACGTTATTCCCGGCAGATAGTTCGCAGCTTTTTAGAAACGAGTGGCCTCCGATTTGACAGCAATTTATCCAATTTGTTGCTCGAACACTGCTGCTGTTTCATTCTAAAGATCATCCAATCGACGAAGCTTAAAACGGCCAAACGAGTATCTTAATCTGTTCGCCGCTTTTGATAAGACTCGCCGATAAACCTGTCCAATTAGTGGCTCGAATTTTCAGCTGCGACGACGGCGTGGTTCGACCACAGAGAATATCGCGCAAGTTCGAACTATACATCGCGCGCATTCTCTAGATTTTTTCGAACGATTTTTACGACGCGCGTTTTTTAACACCGCATTGATTTAATGTCGTGAAAATACGGTCGTCTGCTTTGATAAATGTAAAAGACTCGTGTTCCTAATGTATTGGGATGGCAACTAAGTAATTGCCGATTTCAATTATAGATGTCTCTCACTCTCATTTTTATGATATTCGTAAATGTTATATTATAAAATTATTATTATTATTATTATTATTATTATTATTATTATTATTATTATTATTATTATTATTATTATTATTGTTGTTGTTGTTGTTGTTGTTGTTGTTGTTGTTGTTGTTGTTATTATTATTATTATTATTATTATTATTATTATTATTATT